ATCGCCGAAACAACAGCCCTTGGTCGGGTGAAACCCGAGTCATTCCGGTACGTAGAACCGGCTGTCGTGGGAATGTCGCAAATTTGCGGTCATTCATACCTAAGGGGTACGCTGAATCGCCTATTAAATGCCTATCCTACTAAATAAGCGGTGAGACTGTATTCATAGTTTTACTATAAAATATGCTTGTTTTTAACACTCGAGTATCGTGCATTCGACCGGTTGCCCATCAAATATTTCAATCAATTTTTCCAGCATGTCCCATAAACCTTGTAATATGACAGAGTGTAACTGTTTAAAATCACAAGCGTTTCCAGCAGGATTTAACGTCAAAAATTTCTGTAGTCTTTACTTGCTCGGCATTTGTTGGCTACTTACTGTAAGATGTCCTCATCTGAGAGAAAAGGAAAAGTAAATTCAAAAATTTGATTATACGAACGGTTAGGAATAATTAATCGATCGGTAATAGACACGAATTATTCTTGCTTGCTCCGAAGCCAAACGATTTTTTCCCCAAAGCCAGATTTGCAGTGCGACTTTGGAAATAAGGGAGCAAATAGTTTTAAAATCACTCACTCCCCTAAACTTTTACAAATTTATGTATACTTCAAACGTTGTGCGATTCACTCAAAATATTCCTTGAACTTGTCCAGAGTGTATATTGGGCATCGTATTTTCATAATAATTGGCGGCCGCTGTAATGTAGTGGTTAGCAGTGCGCGCTACCACTCCACAGGGCCTGGGTTCAAACACACGTCAAAGCAACATCGCAACAGAAATATAGAAAAACAATTTTTTTCTTAACAGCGGTCGCCCCTCGGCAAACCTCCGAGTGTATGTATTTGTGCCATAAAAATCCGCTTCTCATAAAAATACAATCGCCGTTCGGGGTCGGCGTAAAACTGTAGGTCCCACCCCTTTGTGTGACAACATCAAGGCGGACGCCACAAATCGGAGGAGAAGCTCGGCCAAACACTAATGTATATTTAAGCGCCTATTTATTATTATTATTTTCATAATAGATTTGCGAGCGAAAACATTTCGCTTTTAGTTTTTATATCGAGCCCTAACCTCAAAAAACGTGTAAGCAACATTTTTTCAAAATTTTCTTTTTGATGCAGAGCATCCAGATGCATTCCTGCATCAAAAATGAAAATTTGAAAAAACGTCGCTCACATCTTTTTGGCGGTTAGAGCTCGACATGGTCAATATCGTTTATTTAAGCTTTCATTTGAAGTACAAAAACGGCCACATTTTAGTATTTACGTCCACGGTTCGTATATAATACTCCAATGTAATTTAAATTCTTTTGTAAATTTATTTAGTCAAAAATACGAATTCGTAGTATTCGCTGCCAACAAAATAAACAAACAAACTTTAGATTTGAGAGCTAGATTTCACAATATTTTTGTGATACATTTTTAATTTAGTAATACTAATTATGATATCGTAAATTCTAATCTGTTCATTAATTCATAAGAATCAGAAACTTTTGATCAGTGATCGAGTTGCTCTGGTGAATGCGCCCATTATTGTACGTAAAATGAATAAAAGTGGCACCGTCCAATCCACGTAACGGGAACGACCCAGATTTGTCTGGCCAAGGACTATCAGTCCTCAAATTCGCGCTGTTACAACAACAATCAAACTTTTTGCAAATATTCATGTAAATGCTTTGGTTAATGATGTATTTTGGAACGAATTTCCAATTTGGTTAAATATATTCACTTGAGCTGAAATATTCCCTCTTTGTCGATTGTATGCCTTCAGTTTCATTTGGGTCTTACAGTTCTGTACCACCTCCAACGACATTTACCTTTACGGTAATGCAATCGATTCAAAAAAAGTTTAATATTTTTAGCATTTTAGTTAGAGCGGCCTCTTAATATAACTAATACACCAACTAAATTCTGCTACTTGAGCTAATCGAATTTCCGAAGCTAAATTTAAATAAGCTGCAGTGTAATATATCACAATACATATTCGTACATAATGAAAATCTTATATTAAAATTTTAAATGGAGAGTAACTTGTGTCTGGGATGCGCTTATGATTTAGTGTAAAGAACTTAATTTACAATAAAATAAATGCATTTTAAGCTACATGTTTTTTACAATATTATACGTTTTCCAATAAATCATTTTATTATACATTGGTTGAAAAATTAGCATGTATATATGTTTATATGAAGTGTCAGTCTGTTAAGAATACGTTTCTGCTTCAGCCTAGTAATGTAAGCAGCTCTGACAAATTACTGATATATTCGGCTGAAGTCATCATGCACCGCAAATTATAAACAATTAATACTTTAGTCACCAGTATGTAAAAATCAATGAGTTGCCGATTTGTAGTATATTTGGTAGTAAAGATGGTGTTTGGTGGTAGAAATATTGTACATAAATTAATTTATGGAGACGTTTGGCAGTTGTTTACCTTATAATTGCTAAGAAAAATGGTATTCATATTACGCATAAATTTTTCAACAAAAGTTAATCAATTATCTCCTTGCCAAGTAGTAAACATCTTTTAATTAAATAAAAACTTTCTGGTAGTTAAGTATGCAATATACTGTACTTACCACTTGTAAACAAATTGGAGCCTCCACTAAAATTTTCTAAAGATATATCGTCCCTTATTTTGTAATGCGACATATTTAAGAAATTATTTTCAATCAATTGAGTTTTTCTTTCGGCTGATGAATCTTCATGCAGGTGTCAGCAAGCAGAGGTTTCTTCACCACCCAATGTAAATGCCACATTTTCCAACTTATGCGATAAATGCATTTTTTTACAATTAACATCGGTATCCAGAGCATGCATTATCTATGAAATAAATATTAAGTACAAAATTCGAGCTTAGAAGGTTGCAAATATGATTAAATTGCATTGACAAAGGCAAGTATTTGTGTTCAATTTGAGCCTAGCAGTCGCTGGAACTCCTTACACATCTGATATGTACTATTTTTATTCTCTAGCGCACTTTACACCCTCCAGCACTTTAAAGTTTGTTAGAATAACGATTGTTTATATGTGCGTCTAGGCGAATGTGCTCACGGTTGAGTAAACATTCTAATATCAAACCGAAATTTAGTTGTTGTTGTTGTAACGGCTACAACAACCCCGCCCAGGACGGTTGGTATCTCAGTCGTTGTCGTCAACTTCCACTAACGGCAACCCTAGGAAGCGTGCAGCTTCTGTGGGGTTTGTCCACAGGCACAAGGCCGTTAGGGTTGTCGGGTTTTCCGGGCATGCGAAGAGATGTTTCGAGTCATGTGGGGTCTCTCCGCATGCCGGACACTCATTCGGCACATCCTCATTCAACCTACTCAAGTAGGAGTTCAACCTGCTGCAGTAGCCGGAGCGAAGTTGTGCGAGTGTTGTGCGTGTCTCCCGAGGCAGATGAAGCTCCGTCTCGTCTATGTCCGGGGGTGGTATGCCTAGAACGGCATTCACAGGTCTAGAGTCTACATAACTCGAGACTGAGTCCCTGTGAATGCCGTTCAGGGCCTGTCTGTAAGCTGTCGGGTCCAGAGGTTGCTTAATGAACCTCTGGACTTCGTCCGTCAGTTCATATAGATGCCTCCTGACGTGCCTAGGCGAGGGCTCCATGACCTCACGGTTGACCAAAGCTTGCTCACACCAGAGGTGAAATTACAAGTCTTCAGATGCTCCTCCCACTTCTTCCGCTTATGTACGTTTACAAGTTGCCGAATCTCCGCGTTGAGATCCCTGATACGGGATCTCCGGGATCGGCCTGACGAAGGCTATCACGCTCATCGGCTAGAACAGCCGCTTCGGAAGGGAAGTTTGGACGTGGGTCCGATATACATCCTGCCGGTATGAAGCGAGCTGCAGCAGCAGTGATAGCCCTGCGGAACTTACGTTCACCGAGGTGGACGTCGGTTGGTGTGGGGAGCGCTGCGAAGGTGTTTTCAGTAAACTCCGCGTAACCTTTCCAATCAGCTTTGGAAAAGTTGATATAGGTCCGGTGTTTGGCGGAGGCAAAGTCGGTTGGTTTATCAATCGAGATGACTATGGGTAGATGGTCTGATGCTAGAGTCAGCATAGGTCGCCACGTTATGCTGTTTATCAGACCAGCGCTGACTATTGTGATGTCTGGCGAGCTACTGCAGTTACCCATAATCCTGGTGGGTGCGTCGTCGTTCATTGTGCAGAATGTCGAATCGTCTATCTGCTCAGCCAAGTCTGTTCCCCTACGATCGTTTGACAGGCTTGAGTGCCAAAGATCGTGGTGCGCATTAAAGTCACCTACTACCATACGGTTTTCACCTCTGAGGAGCGCACCTATATCAGGGTGATAT